CTCAGATGAGGGTTTGTCTCATTGTCCCAAATCAAACGGCTGGCTGGATTTATATGTCTTCTATGATGTATGTCAACTTTACATTGGACTGTATTTTCCTGCTTGTCATCTAATGAGTTTCAGGATAAACCTGTGTAAAAAGCCTGAGACACTTCCTTCTAATAGGTCACCAATAACATTTTTGTCCCAGTGCTTTTCCTGGTTCTCTGTGGTCAATAGACAAAAATAACTTCCTGCCCTCACAACCTGGGCAGCTCATTGAGTCACCTGGCAGATGAGAGGTTGTGGTTTTCCCTGGAGCACAGCCTGCACATCAGTGTGGTGGAGATGAGGGCAGTGACTTACATCAAGCCGCCAGCTGCGCAGTCATGACTGTCACATGCAGGTGATGATGAATACACAGGGATGTATCAACAAGCCAAATGGTGAGGGAGAAGAACATGCTACTGAGAGATTTTTCTGATTTAAAGTGAGAGAAACTTCACAAGGGGAACACAGGTGGCTGAGATTTGCCTTCTGAGGCATGATGCTTCTTTCCCTGACATCACAGGTTGGTTAGTGGGACTCTCCATCTCCAGCTGAGATTATCCAATAACTCTAACTGTGGCATCCCTGCCGATGGAGTGTTCTTGTGGTTTTTGAACAACTTAGCAAGGTTGTTTCCTTCTGCTATGCTTCTTACCATGTCTCAAACTCTTCCCTATGGTTTTTAAAAACTGATGTCTGCTGCTTCTGTGACAAGTGTAGGGCAGAGAGTGGAGGTTATCACCTTCAGAAAAGTAGGGAAGGTTCAGTCTGCTGTTGGAGATTCTCCCCCTCCTGCTCTCTGCAGTAGGCTACTGCCTACTTAGAGACAGGTTTATCTTTTATACCCACCTGGAGTTCCTAACTTCATTGTTGGTTGACAGCTGGCTGAACATGAGCCAGCAGTATGCCCGGGTGGCCCAGAAGGCCAACAGCATCCTGGCTTGTATCAGGAATAGTGTGGCCAGCAGGAGCAGGGAAGTGATTGTTCCCCTGTACTTGGCACTGGTGAGGCCGCACCTGGAATACTGTGTCCAGTTTTGGGCCCCTCAATACAAGAAGGACATTGAGGTGCTGGAGCGTGTCCAGAGAAGAGCAAGGAAGCTGGTGAAGGGTCTGGAGAACAAGTCTTATGAGGAGCGGCTGAGGGAACTGGGGTCGTATAGCCTGGAGAAGAGGAGGCTGAGGGGAGACCTTATAGCTCTTTACAACTACCTGAAAGGAGGTTGTAGTGAGGTGGGGGTTGGTCTCTTCTCCCAAGTAGTTAGGGGGAGGATAAGAGGCAATGGGCTCAAGCTGCGCCAGGGGAGGTTTAGGTTCGATGTTAGGAAAAATTTCTTCACGGAAAGGGTAGTCAAGCTTTGGAACAGGCTGCCCAGAGAGGTGGTGGAGTCACCATCCCTGGAAGTGTTCAAAAAACGGGTAGATGTGGCACTTTGGGACATGGTTTAGTCTAGTCTAGCCTTGATTGGTTTAGTGTGGACTTGGTAGTGTAGGTTAATGGTTGGACTGGATGATCTTAAGGTCTTTTCCAACCTAAATGATTCTATGATTCTATCGCATCCAAAAGATCAGTGTACCTCAGTTCCCCCCCAGGAAGTGTCCTTCCAGAGCTGGGCAATACAGTATATGCTGCGTGGTAGGTGGGCTTTGTCTTTCTATATTAGTAGGATATATTGCCAAGCTATTCAGGGCAGGTTTCCCAGTGTTCAAGAGTGAGGTATAAGGGAATAATGCTTTTGGTGCAGGCTTTTGCCTGCCTAGTTTGTCTGTAACTAACTATCGCACAGGTACAAAAGGATTGGGGCAGTGGTTAGCAGTTGTCTGTGACAACCAAGGTTCATTTGACTGGAGTTCAAATAGCAATTGGAGATTCTCTGCAAAGTCTTCTATTTTGCAGCTTTGCAGAGCCGATGGCTGGATTTTAGGTTCCATTTTCAGCAAGTGTTATGCTGAGTGCCACGGACTCAGTGCAGAGCTGCTTTCAGGTGGATGGTTATTTACTTGACAGTTTCAAACTCTTATCCCAAGTATCTCTATGGAGAGTACTGCCTGGAATCTGCCACAGGGTACGCAGGTGCAGAAGCATTCAAGCAGAAATAAGGAGCCATTTACCTGTAAGCGTTTTCCATATGTATTATTTCATGTATTGTCTCTTCCCCCAGTGGAATTTTCCTGCATTTGATACTCCTCACTCTCCTTTTTAATAGCCTTTTCTCCTCCTTTGGTTTTTTCCTTTTTCTTTTTCTTTCCTCCTGGAATATAGTAACTTCTTTAATTTATGCTCGTCTGAAGTTTCTTTTGCTTCCTCTTAATTCTCTTAATGCTCATTCACACATACACTTTCCCCCAAGGTTTGATAACTCTGCGTATTACAATCTGTCATTGTCTCTGGTATCTTTGTAGCCAACTTAGATCTTCTCTAAAACATCCAAATGCCTTATGCAACCTTGTTAGTGAGGTAAATGTGAAATGAACAATTGCAGTGTGCTCACAGGCTTCTCATAAGGAACCATTAGGAATGTGGAGGAAGGAGAAAAGGAAGGGCAGAAGCGGGCAGGTAAAGCTTTTAACGGAGACTACTGCAACAAGCACTTTGAAAAAGAGTAGAAAGATTTTCTTTACAAACTTATGGTTCAACAGGTTGCAACCTTCATTATTTACTATTGGGAAGAAAATACAGCAGGTATCTAGAAAAGCAAGTGTCCAAGATAGTGCCCATGAAAGAAGAGAGATGAAACAATCAGGCTAGGTTGAAAAGGATAGTATCTTCATGAGACAAAAAATAATTAAATTTTGGTCCTTTAAAAATAGACTGTCATTTTTGGACCAATTTCTTCCCAAATGCTTCATTTCTTCAGGTGGATAGATGTTGCTTCCAATACTGTTTTAGTGGCTTGTACCTGCCTTCAGGGAGAACAGAGCTACTGCTCTGAATCTGTAGCAGACACACAGAGCCCATCATACTAAGTGAGAGAGAGCCAGGACTACCTGCATCTGACAATAAATTAATTTCAAATATAGGAAAGGGATAACTGGAAGCCAAAGCACAGAACTTGGAACTGATCAAAATGTGAATCTCTTAGCTCTCCATTTACTGCTACTCACAAAACTGATTAATCCAGAGTCCTCATCTGCATACTGAATTATGAAAATCATAGGTGTGCTCCCAGTCCATGAGAGTAACTGGATAGTTCTGATGATAGTCACATGCAACATTAACCAATATAGCATCCACAAATACATTCTTTTTGGGAGACTTGTTCCATTTATACTCCAGAGTAATCTATTTTCACAGAGCAAGGGATAATAGTCTTTGCATCAGCTTGCTTTTGTGTACTGATTTGCTCTAGCTTTCACACAAGCAATGCTGTGAGGCCAAGGAAAGGCAGCTTATGGCAGCAACTGTACCTGCAGGAATGTCCCATCTCAGGCAGCAGTAACCCCTTCACTAGAGCAATACTGTTCACTCATCAATTCTACTAGCCCAGGCATCATCTACTCTGCAGTTTATATTCAATGTGGAAATTGCCACCTGTGTAAGTAACTAGTCAGCCTTTTACCTTCAAGTACAGCTAGTGCAACTCCAGCATTTACACTTCCACAGTTTCAGGGGTTTTTTTCACTCTAGGGCACTAGAAATGACAGGCATTCCAGAATTTTTATCAAAAACCCACAAGGGCACCTTACTTTTACATACAAAGAAGCAAAAGCAGCTGAAATAAAAGCTTACTTGAGTATTACTTGCTTAGTCTTACCACTTTTCCTAGGTGGATACGTAACAAACGTTTGTTTCTATGTAGTCTAACTGAACCACTGAAATGGACACAACTCACTTTCCTTCCTTTACCTAATTAGCAAGCCTATTCCTCAGCAAGTTCACAGCCATGCAGCATCTAAAGTTTAAAAACTCTGTATTGAGCATGTTCTGACCCCACTAGTAAGTAATAGCTCAAGTTGTTAATAATGGTGTAGTTGGAAATATACTATGAAAATAACTTAACTCAGAAGTACTCCATTCTAGAATACTTTTTCAAGTAAAATAAGCAGCCATGACTCCACTATCAAATGAATCATAGAATCACAGAATGCTTTGGGTTGGAAGGGACCTTTAGAGATCACACAGCCCACCCCCCCTGTAGTGAGCAGGGACAGCTTTAACCAGATCAGGTTGCTCAGAGCCCCGTCCAACCTGACCTTGAATGTTTCTAGGGATGGGGCTTCCACTACCTCTCTGGACAACCTGTTCCAGTGCTTCACCACCCTCATTGTAAAAAATTTCTTCCTTATATCCAGTCCAAATCTATCCTCCTTTAGTTTAAAACCATCACTCCTTGTCCTGTCACAACAGGCCTTGCTAAAAAGATTGATAAATGAAGACATACTTACTTCAAAGTTAAGGGTAATATAAATGAATTATCAAAGCAACTGAGACTATATGGTAGTTTATCTGTAAGACAACAGGCTGCAGTACCCTCAAGCTGAATCCACTTGGGTTTGCTGTTGTAGAATTATCAATAACCATTCCACCTACCTAAAGCTCTGTTGGAAAAACTTTCAAAAGGCTTAGGCAGTACCAGACAATCACTAATAGTGTGCTGATGAGCACATCACCTTAAAGGACATGTACTTGTAATGCATTCAGTGTACTGAAAACAACAGGAAGAAGTTCATTAATATATTAATTTATTTCATTATTTCAGTTTTAGTTCAATTGAACATCAGAGCAGACAACTTTTTGCTTTGTGAAGATACAGGGAATTTTTAAAACACTATTTCCATATTCTGCAAAATACATTTGAAAAATCAGATTACAGTTTCAACCATATAATTATATAATTTGTCAGTGAAGAGACTGCAGTTAGGAACTCAGTCTGGTGCTTTAGTATAGTTTATATTTTCAGACAGGCTTTTCACTTAATATCATATTAAAAAAAATACAGCTTTAGAAGAAAACATGATTTTAATTCATGTTATAAATGTCATCATGTTGGGTAGCTAGAGACATCACTTAGTACAATAGGTATTTCCAAAGATTTCATTCTATTAAGAGTTCACAATATTAGATTTTAAACTAGCTACAGACCACCTAAGTCCTGTCTCTAGACAAAATGTATTACCTGAAATTTGCAGTATAATATATACACAGGTTCCAATACAAATGTTGGAGGAATTTTCATATAAAATGTAACTGTGATGCAGTGGACAATTTTTAAATTAATGCATCCTCATCTCAACCAGATATGTTACTCATAAATTTTATTCTGTTTCCCTAGGAAATATTTTGTTGTCCATTACATCACAATAGCATATTTTTTTAAAAAGTTGATTGAGAACAATTGAACTACATTATGTTAAGTTTTAGACGTATTTCTTGATTTCATCATAAAGTACTAATACAAAAGCTCCGCCCATGCCTCTCAACACATTCGACCAGGCACCTTTGAAGAACGCTTTGGATCCTTCATCTTTAGCTATCTTCTTCCAGCAATCAATTGTGCCCTTGTACATAATATCAGCTGTGGAAACAGACATAAAAGTCAGAAGGCTTGAAATAATACAGCAAGTCTGTTTCAACTTTCATATATTTGAAACAAGATGGAATAATCAAACTATAGCCAAGAATTTAGAATTAAGTAATCAATTCATGAAAAGTAATTTTAATTCTCCACATGGGAATCAAAACACATCAACTCTCACCCTCAAGTGAGCATGACAAATAGCCAGTAGCATGTTCCCCACAGCTTTTTTTTTTTTAAAGGATTCTAATCAGGTGGTCATTAGTTTTCCATAAGACAAAAAAAATACCCAGTATCTCCCATCATATCTCAATGAAGAGATACTTTCTGCTGCCAGAAGACCATAGGAGCACTTATTCTTACCTCCCTTTCGGCCAGACTGCATCATCATCCTACGTCGCACAGTATCAAAAGGGTAAGAAACCAGCCCTGCTACTGCAGTGACAGTCTGGGCAATCATCCAGCTCACTACAATATGCACATTCTTTGGATCAGGCAACATACCTGCCATCAAGAACAAATGAGGAGAGTCAGTACAGAGACAGAGTTGTGGGAAAGACAGCTGTGGAAGGAACAACCACCCACCAACCCCCAGAGTCACTCAATCAAGTCAAATCCATCACACCCACAACTTTACTCTTCATCCATATCTGACTATTAACACATTCAAGTGAAGCAAGTTTATAGGACTGTTGGATTTTGGGGTCTAAGCTCTCTTCATGCTCCCTGACCAGAAGGTCCCTCCTGCAGAACCCTCCCAGGCTTGTGTTATGAGCTGCAATGAGTAACAAGCTACCATACAAGCCCATCTGTACCAGCCTTAAGACAGAGAAAGAAACTCAAAGTGTCTGAAAACACACTGCAAACCCAAGGCTTCTGCTCAGAGCATAAAGCTGAGGGAGGCAGGAATTTTCATGTGCATATTCTAGCACCACCACCCTGAACTGGTGCTGAGCCAAGCCGGGCCTGTCCTTGTACTGCCAAGTGCCCTAGAGCGCCTTTACTGGATGGATCTTCCCTTGCAGTCACTTTTCCATGCACTTCTTACCCTTGGCCGTGTCGTAAACCCCAAAATAGGCTGCTCTGTAGATAATAATGCCCTGGACAGACACACTGAATCCTTGGTACAGGCCCCTCAAGCCATCAGACTTGAAGATCTTGATGATGCAGTCGCCCAGCCCAGTGAACTCCCTCTCACTGATTCTTTTCGCCGCCGCCAGCCTGGTCCTGGCAAAATCCAGCGGGTAGACGAAGCAGAGGGAGGTGGCTCCCGCAGCACCCCCGGACGCCAGATTCCCTGCGAAGTACCGCCAGAACTGCTTGCGCCTGTCCACTCCCCCCAGGAAGATCTGCTTGTACTTGTCCTTGAAGGCAAAGTTGAGGGCCTGGGTGGGGAAGTACCGGATGACATTGGCCAGGTTGCCTCTCCAGAAGGAGATGATGCCTTGCTCCTTGGGGATGCGGACTATGCAATCGATGATACCCTTGTACTGCTTCTCTGCCGTGATCTGTTTGCTGGCATGCTGGACCTGTACGGAGGAGAAGGATGAGAGGTGGGAGGGCAGAGGGACGCCGCAGGG